GCAAAGGGCGCCGCTACTGGGAGCAAGACCACTACTAGGTGTTCCTGGCCTTGCTACTAGGAACAAAAAGCTACTAGGAGCAAAGGGCATTGCGATAAGGTTTGCAGATGTTGCACAAAATACCAGTGGAAACCGATCCTCGACCAACACTAGTCGTACCCGATTTTAAATCCAAGTAATCAATGTCAACGGTAAATAAAAGCGCTTCAAGCCGCCCTGCGTTTATCGCCAGCAAAAACGATGTCTAAAGAAAAAAAGGAACGAAAGAACGAAACGAGAAAGGGCCAAGGTTCGAGGAAAAATCTGAGAAGGCCAAGGCACTCGCTACTGAGCAAGAAGCTACTAGGAGCAAAAACGCTGCTAGGGGCCTGTGGTCTCACTACTAGTAACAAGAAGCTACTAGTAGCTCCTGGCATTACTACTAGTAGCAAGAAGCAAGGTCTGAAAAGGCCAAGGCACTCGCTTCATCAATCCGAGCGCTGCTCACACTCAGGGAGAGCGCGCTGTCGCTGCCGGTACTCAGTGGCACCGCTTTGCGGCGTGCGGCAACATCCAGTCCACGTCGTAGGAGGCCTGGCGAGAACACCCTACAGCGTGTAGAACCAAGATCTTATGAGTAGAAAAAGATCTTAGTTTTCTACCCGCACTCAAGCCAGGACGGGGAGTAGGCCGTAGCTACGAACCTAGCCACTACCTACAAGCCTCTTCAAAGAAGTTTCCCTGCCCCTCAACTTGAAGATTGAGTCTGAATCAGGTGGAGCGCGTTTTTTCTGTGAGTTTTTTGGCGTTTTTCTGGGAGTGATTTGCAAGCATCAGGAGCAGCAGAAAGGTCAGGGGACAAAGCAGCAAAGCCAGCGGGAGGGAGAGAGCGAGACAGTGACACAGGGAGGAAGCAGAAAAGGGAGAAGTAGGAGTGAGGAGAGAGGAACGCACACAGGCATGTTGCTGCATTGGAATGGCGTCTTCCTCCTCTAAATTTTAGAGGCCCTCGGGTGGCTCGCAAAAGGTGTGCACCGTTGGAATGGCAACTTCCTCCTCTAAATTTATTGTTGGGCGCCTCATGCGCCGTTGGAATGGCACCTTCCTCCTTGGGATTCAACTCTAAAAACTTCCCTAGAGTGGCACACAAAAGGTATGCACAGTTGGACTGGCACCTTCCCAGCAGCACTGGGTCTTTACTGGAACCAGCGTAAAAATGGAAGCTGGCCACTTGCAGCAACACACGCTCGTTAGAGCTTGGCCACTGCAAGCAGCACAGCTTTGGAAGCTGGCCACTTGCAGCAGCACAGGCTCTCTACTGCAAGCAGCGCAGTAAAGCCAGCGACTTGCAGCAACACTTGCAGCGCTTCAAGCTGCCTATGTGCAATCGCAAAAGCGAAAGTAAAGGCAGAAAGGCAGAAGCAAAAGCAAATGCAGAAGCAAAAGCGAAAGCGAAAGCAGAAGCACAAGCAAAAGCACAAGCAGAAGCAAAAGCACAAGCAGAAGCAAAAAGCAAAAGCAAAAGCACAAGCAAAAGCAAAAGCAGAAGCAACTGCAAAAGCAAAAACAAAAGCCATAGCAAAAAGCAAAAGCATAAAAAGTGTGAAAAAAGAACTCATATTTAAAAAGCTACACCAGCACAGACCCAGATAGCTAGGCAGAATCCCACGACCTGTTGACATGCGACTAGCTGGAACAAGAACGTACGCAGCCTGCACAGCCAGCTTACGGCACCTCCACAACGCGCACAATCAGCTGACACCAGCACCGGTGCGCTTTGCCAGCTGACAACACCGGCGGCGGCGCCAGCACCCGACCAGCGCCGCCGCCCGTCTTAAAAGCCCGCTTAGCCAGCTCACAGCACCAGCGCCCGGGACCACAACACCAGCACCGACACCCTTCCGAAAGCGCGCGCACCCATACCTATCCCTATTTGGGAATAACAACGTATGATCTTGCGCGTATATGATTATGCGCGCAAAAGTACGCGCACAAACGGCAAAGCCCGTAGGCTTCACTCACCCAAGGCCAGGCAGTATCCAGCACGAATAGCTTCGCTATCTGGGAAAAAGATCCGAAAATAGACCCCCTCACATACGCAAGCTACACCACCAGCACCGGCGCCCAGCACCAGCACCAGCACCGGAACCGGCACCCGGCAGCAGCACCAGCGCCAGCAACCTGTCTTCACCACGTGCACAGCCAGCTCACACCTGTCTCCACCACGCACCAGCACCGGCGCCAGCACCAGCACCGGCACCAGCAACCTGTCTCCACCACGTGCACAGCCAGCTCACAGCACCAGCACCAGCACCGGCACCCAGCACCAGCAACCTGTCTCGAAAGCGCGCACGGGCAACTCATTGTTATTTGAAGTAAGAACCCCATAGCTTCGCAATCTGGGGAAAAATAACAAAGATCCTAGAGAAATACCGGTTCCGTCTGAATCATTTGGTTCCTACATTCTTTGGAAAACTTAAGTTGTATAGATCGTTTTGGTGTGCAGTGATCAATCTATCTGCGTCATGGAACCATAGACTGCGCAAGACAGCTCTTCTGTTGGAGGCCATCGCTACTTGGTTGGAGGCCATCGCTACTAGGTTGGAGGCCATTGCTTCTAGGTTCCAAAATTCAAGCACTCAGGTCTCAGAATCAAACTGCGCCTTCCAATACATCACAATATCCGCGGAGAACGGACCAGAAGAATGCAGGAATAGAGTTCTGTGCCAAAGCCTTTCCGGCAAGAAAGGCGAGAAAGAAATGTCGTGACAGTCGTCCACTCTCAGTTTGCTCTGCGATCACTTCTGCGTCACCGCCATGCCTCTCCTACTTGCTTCGCATCCGCGATCTCCAAAAGCGTCAGTGCCATCCCAGGCTTTTCACATGCAACAGCCAAGTCGACACCTGAACTTGCAAAAGAAAAGGAAAAAAGAAAGTGCTCTCAGCCGAC